ATGAACCCTGAAGACCAGCCGCACACGTGTGTTCTTCCGACCGATGTCCGTCTCTCCCTTGCGCAGCTCGATGTCAGAGTTTCGGAGCTTTAATATCCCAGCACAGTCGATGCTATCCAAAAGGAAACAGAGCAATTCAATGATTTTCAAGCAGACTTCAGGAAGGCATGAGTGTGCAACATCTTCCCTCTCTCCTGTATGCGCTTCTTAAAAAACTGAGTGAGACACAGCCCAATGACCAGGCTGAACACAGCACTTTGTTTAGCCTAGTAGTTGCATTCACAGGCAGCTAAGTTGGGGCTACCTGCAGTAACAGGTAGTAGGCGCAATTTAGCACACAACTTTAGGATGTTACCTCAGTTCTCAGAGGAAAAAAATCTAACAGACCCTTCCTCCTCAGCACATCCTGTCAGGATGGTGCTTAAGGATTACCGAAAACCCAAAGAAATAGCAAGACTAGAAAAGTCAATGGAATGAGATGATGGTGCAGACAGTGTTACTAATGCAGAACGCAGGGTTACTTACGATTGCACTTGTTACAACTAATTTGGAGAAAAATCTGACATGATTTTTAATCTAGGGCAAAGTCCTGAAAATGCTTATTAATGAGCACAGCTGTCCCTGAGGTCAACTCTACTGTCAATGTGCTTGTATTTGAACGAGTTGGAAATACTCCCAAGCTGAGCACTGAGTTGAAGCTCTGCATGAAAAACACTAAACTCAGAGTCCTCCCTCCACATTAGGGAAAAACGTGCTTTTCATCAGATACAACTATTACTATTTCTACCTCTCATTTTTTTTTAACTTTGGTTTCCTCCTGGATGAGCTTACAAGTAAGGATTTTTGTCAAAGAAAATTTCAACAGAAGAAGTTCCCAGAACAAAAGATATATAAACATACGCACTCAAAAACCCACTGCAAAAATACCTCTGCCTTGGCCATGACTACAAAGCCTACATGGCAATTTCTTCTGGGTACTGGTCTCTGGCATGCACTTTATTACACTGAATATGCATAGTTTAATTTTATTTTGCATTCAAAGAGTTTAATTCCCCCTCCAGACCTTTGAAGCTCTGTTCTGAAGCAAACTGCAAACAAGCACTATGGCAGCACGGTTTTGATCTGCATTTTTTCTGAAGTATGGATTTCAGAATTAAAAAAATGCCCTTGCTGATATGATCAAAGAAACTAATGAAAGTGTTAAAGCTCCTCAACAATGCATATTAGCAGGTGAAGCCATAAGAATTATGAAATATTTGTACCCATGTCAAAATTCTATGCAAAGATCTTTAAGCTATAGAAGAAACAGTGCATTTCTCAATATTGTCTCTCCTATAGCAACACTTGTAAAATAAATACAGTACTTAATGAGATTCAATTCAGAGCCAATAAAGCTCAGAGGAGAAAAAGCATTTAAATTCAGGCTTTTAAATCATGGATATTAAAATCTGAAGTCAATAGGAACAGCTAAGTGCGCAAAAACTTAAATGTGCAGATGAGCTTCGGTGTTTCCCTAAATCAAGGCCTGAACACACAAACTATGTGTGAGAAAAGTCCTTGGCTCCAAATTTCAATTCACTATTAGTGCTACATGAGGTTTTAGACTACTGACGTGTAAGGCTTACATACACCAAAGCATTGTTCGTGGTTCTTGAGAGAGCTCTACTACAATCTGGCATGCATGCCACAAAAATATTCAGCTTGGCTCCTGAACTGTGTAACTACCTTTATTTTAGGGTGAAAGATGATTGAAATGGTAATAATGTTCCTAGATGGCCAAAAATGTGATTCAAACTGGATAAATAAAGGGCCAAGTAAATACTGTTTGGGTACAAATTGGTGAAATTTCATTAACCTCAATGTAGTTGTGTCAGCTTACGATGACAGCAAATGGGGCCAATAATTTTGCAGGCTTGTCATGACTTTTAACACAATGCACTGAGAGAGGTCCTTGGGTTTTGAGTGATCACTCTAAGCCCAGCTGGCAATGCAGCTAAACATATTCTGGCTGTTCTATTTACGTGTGGCACTCCGAGGCATGTTGTACATGACTCTGCAAACCAGCTTCTAATAACCACTATGTGCAGAAGGACTTCAGGTGTCTGATACCATTTTCTACTTCATTAAGGCATAGAAAACTCTATCAATAACAAGGAGCGAAATTGTGATTTTCCTGTGGCATTTGGTTTGGTGGGGCTCAGGACTGCTTTTTGTCTACCTTCTACTTGTCTTTCTATCTCCCTATAGATGCACACAAAGGTGCATACATCTCTATATAAATATGAATACATTTATACTTACACACACATTGAGAGTCGTACTTGCATGCAAGCACACAGAAATTCCTCCCAAGGCAGACACCTCAGATAAGGGTTAGGATCATACGAAGGAGGGGTGAGATAACTCAGACAAGGGCTAGGATGATTTGAAGGAGGGGGACAAAGAGGACAGGATTAAATAATATGGAGTGTCTCATGTATTTCATATACACAGAGGGATATTTCAACCTTTATATACAATCCTATAATGACACTTACCCATGTGTAATGGACTTACACAGCATTTAATTATCACTCCTACTAACTCAGAAATCCACACCTGCTTTTTTGCATAGGACTAAACTTATCCCAGTTTAATGACTCCCATCAGTAAATTGCATCACCTTTGAGTAAAGGTTCTCAGAGGTAACTTTTCTTAGTTCTAGAAGACTTACTTCTAAACAAATGCCATAAAAATGTTGAGTTTTATTATGTGAGAAATGAGTGGTTTTATTTGTCTCAAAAAAACCAAGAAGGTACTTGGAAATGCTCTCTAAGAGTTTCCTTTGACATCTAAAGATAAATTTTAATAGGCTCTGTTCCTTGTGCTGGTGCGTATAGGAGCAAGAGGTGTCATATTTAGAAACTAAATGCAGGAGCTGAGGTAGGAGATATTTACAGCTTGGTAACTGAGATACTTATTTTAAATGGCAAATAAGTACATTGGCTGAAACTCTAGAATGAAAGCAATCAGTTGTCATAAATATTTGTGAAGTTCATTTTGCTGTTAAGCCGATTAGGGGCAATTTGTCCCAGCAAAGTTGTGAAAACCTTCTATTACAGAGAGACTTAGGAAAAAAAAAAAGATAGGAAAAGGAAAATCGTGTACAAAAAAAAAAAAGAAACAAAACCAAAAGAAAGTAAGTGAGGTGACCAAGACCAAGAGGAAACTGCTAGATGTCAGATATATTGCCTGACTCTTACATTGCTCTCATGTTGTTCTCTGGAAGAAGTGGAATTTCCAGGACTTTGGTGTTGGAAAGTATTGTTTCGTGGCTGGTGGTGGAAACGGTCTTCCCAGTGATTCGGTGAACCTGGTAGAAAGCATGGGGTCGCAGCAGGCGGTCGTCTGCAGTCCCAATGAACAGCTGTAGCGTGAGTGGCTCGCTTTCTAAGTAACCATGTAGCTGGCAAGAGAACAGAAAACGCCCACTGAGCACCATGCACATAAACTGCTAGGAATCAATTAAATTTTTATAAGCGAGAGAGCCTAATTCAAGGAGAGGACTTGTGACAGGTGCGATGTGTTAAGTTCCCCCTTTCCATTTTTCCTGCAATGTAATATTAGTACAATAAAAAGGTGCACGTAGAAAATGCCTCATTATCCTAAAGGACCTGAGGCACTTTAGATGGGCTGCGCTTTTGAGCACTCCTGTTACATCCACAGAAAACTTTGCATAAATTCTGCCGCAGTGTTCGACAAAAAAACACAATGATGTTCCCTCCCAGTACTGAGGGAGGCAAAACTGATGGAGTTTGCAAGTGGAAAGCACACAGCTCATCCATCCCCATGCTTCCTGGGTCATCCCTCATGCAGCAGCAGGCTGTTGCTTGTGACTCGTCCCCTCATTAACCGATTTTTATGCTGGTAAATACCTCCCGGGACAGCATAGAGACAGATCACGTATACACAACCAGCAGCTTGCCATGTGTGTCAAATTCTTGTTATAATCACACAAAAATCTCATTGAAGCTATTGGGCCTGACCATATTACAGTGACTGCTCTGATGACAACGAGTTATTTCTGCCACAGGCTGGGGAGGGAACAGGAGCAGAGCCTGACCTCATCCCCACCATCTCCTGCAGAAGCTACTCTGGGTTCCCACTGCTGTGGAGTCCCCAGACAGTCCTGCTTAAAGCTGCTACCTCACACTGGGAAATGAGTCTCACAAAACAGTTATCTTGCAGTTGATACCTGTGAAGCCTTGTCCCAGGGGAAGAGAGGACACAGCAACTTTAGGAAAGAGAAGCATGGGCAAGGTGGGCTGTCCGAGGAGATGCCCCATCCCACAGCAAACCTGCTCACTTTGTTGTAGGTTTAGTTTCCCCACTGAATGGTTCAGGTGGGTTTGGGCACAAGTTATTCACCAACACTGCACCATCACTGAATCTGATAGATCAAAATTTATCATAATTTGGTGAGGAGCAACACTTTTGTTTTATGGTGCATGCAAGTTCAAAGCTAAATAAATCTAAAATCAAACAGTGAAACTCGTGTCAAATCCCACAGGTAACTTCTGTATTGTATTTTGACGGCTTTCACTCTACTTAAATCTTAAAAAGTAATTTCTGGCTATCTCTCCAGAGTATTTTACCTTTTGACATCAGGAGTGTTATTAAAAACAAAGATCTTGAGTCACTTTTACTCCTTGAGCACTGCAAAATTCTAGTGGGTGCTAACACAGGCACAAAGCCTCCCCTCCATTATCAAACATGCTGAATGGCAACAGGAATGCACAGTGGCAATGTTTCAGGTACCACGATGACCAACACATGAGCAAGGAAGGACGCTGTGCTTAGACAGATCTTCCATCACTAACTGGGCATACTGCGGATTTTGCAACGCTCACTTTGGTCAGAAGAGCCAAGAGGAAGCATTTCAATTTGTGTGGCAATTTTTATACCCTTACCTAAAGCACATGGATGTGGAAGCATGTAGGGTCAGGAGGAGAACAAGGCTCATTTCCAGCACTACAGTATTTTATCAGCTCTGTGAGACACAGCATGAAGGCAGCTCAGAGACAAGGAGTTGTGATGTGATATGATATGATGTGATATGATATATGAGGGGGTTCCATACCAGTATTGTCACACTGAAAACACATAAGTGGCAGTTTGAAAATCTGCAGTGTCAGCAAAGTGACGAAGAGAGAAAACCAGAGACATGCCTGCACATTGCCTTCAGCAGGATGCCATGGGCTGCAAGCCTCAGTCCAGCCCCACTTGGAACACCCGCTTCCTACAACCCTGGACACCAACATTAGCACTACACTGCAAAAAGAGGACTTTCTGACTTTATACCCCACAGACAGACACGCAGCCTGAGCTGCCGGTAGGTGATCACAGGTGTGCTCCTGGTACAGCCAGTGGCCATGGGGAAGCCACTGTCCTACACATCACCACCCTGTCCCCTCGCATGGTAGCCCTGCCTGTTTAGTAATTCCATCAGTGTGCATGAGCTGGGCTGGCAGAGCGACCTGGATTTGTCCTGGGCTGATCTTACCCTGCCTCAGCATCTCCAGAGCCTTGGCAGCAAAGCTGAGGTAACGGAACAGACTCAAGGTATCATGGGGTATTTTTGATCAAGAGCAGCATGCAATTTTTCAGGGGGAAAAGTAAGATAGTATGACACGCCAGCCAAATAAATTTCTGTGCATTACTAGCGGTCACTTCTCCAACTCGTCATGGAGGGTGCTTTTTATGGGGAGTGTAAAATTAAAACAAACACATATTGAATTACAAGGCCACTTAAAACGTAAAAATAGACTAGCGAGTAACTCAAACCTCAGTTCAGCAAAAGCAAAGTTGCACACCAAGGTACCCACATGTTTTACTGAATGCAGGCAAAGGGGACCAAAAACCTTGGTCTTGCATTGGGTTCTGCTATTTCAGGCTTTATCTTGAAATCTGAACTCAGCTACTGCCATATCTTGTAACCTACTGCTGAGTCTCAGCTTGTGCTTTTCCCACAGGTTTCCTACCAGGAGGCAATCAAACACCCACAGTCCTCAGCTTTGCACACCTGCCCTCCCCCGAGAAGTGTTCACATGCTGGAGAATAAATAATAAGATCTCAGATGCACGTTTTACACTTTTTTTTTTAAGGTTTGTGATCTTCAAACTGAATTATGTTTACTTTTTTCAAAGGCCCTGTCCTAGAGCCATTCTGTGCTTTGCTTTGGATCCATCACCCATAGTTACTTACTCTCTGACTTGGCAAGTGCCAGAAACATTCAGAAAGACTAATGTAATGACTATATGCTTGATTTTGTTGCCTTCAAAACAGGCAAAACTCACACTCATGTCACAAGTTTTATGTCGTCTTCTGTGGCAGGAGGCATCTGATCTCAAATTTGTATATCCATTTGAGTTTTACCCATTGCATCATATTATTTACTTTTATATTATGTCACATAATTGTATATGCCAACAAAAGCAATAAAAGAAAGCAATGCAAGGATTAACACTTAAAGGAGCACATACTGTGAATGACTTATTTTAGATTACGCACCCAGCACATGATTTCTGTGACAGACAACGTTGCACTTTGGGAATTTTCAGAACGTTGAAGATGTCTGGAGAATGGGCAAGATCCTGCTTACTCTCAGCTGGGCACATCGAGAATATTGTACAGTTCCCTCAAAACACCGAAGAGCAACATTATTGTCATGTCATTCAACAAAATGTCAAGAGGAGTGGTGCCAGTAGAGGCAGAACTGCAGTACTCCAGGCTGTTAGATTTGCTAGCACATAGAGGGAATATCAAACAAGATTAGTGTAAAATGGGACGAGGGAAAAGGGTGACTGAGCATTTTTCTAGGTGAGGAAAGATCTCGCATGTTCACGTCCATGCATATTTTCCACACATGCTCTGGGATACTGTACTTGGTGGTATAGCGATTCAGTTTCCTGGCGCGTAACATGGGATGCGTGCGTCAGACACCCTATTTTTATCTTTTTCTCTGTGTAACACAGTCCAAAGCTCTTAATAACTCAGTGGTTGAGTATGGGTGACAAAGGTGCTCTCGGCTATGGCATTCATAATAAAGGATATGTCTTTCCTACCAAGCATGCTTTGCTTGGCAATACATAGATCCAAGTGGAAAGATCTGTACTTTCCCCTGCTACGGAAGTGTAAAAGGAGTTACTTGCAAAATAGGATCAGGAGCACAATGTTTTTGAATGAGTTTCCCTTCCGAAATAAAGGCTGTGATACAGCAATCACCTGATTCGGTACAAAGGAAAGATGCAGGAAAAAACTTAAGTATGCAGATAAGAGCTCTGTGGTCAGTTTGTTAGGTTTTGAAACTAAAGTAGGTCATATTGTTTTGTTCTGACCAATCACTGATTTCTCTGTTCTTTTCCTTTTTGAGCAATACTCTTAAAAATATTTCCACTGGTCTTAAATGATATTTGCATTTTTATTGTCTGAAGCTGCTAAGATCAAAATCAGACTTAATTGTAGGCATATTATATACTCCTCTAATTCTATCAGAAGCGATGCAGTCACTGGTAATTAACACCAGAACAGGACCGATTGCAGGTAAGCTTATCGCCACCTTACATCATCTTACACAAGAGCGAGGGAAAGGCTGGGCGACTGTGCCACTGCATCAAGCTTTCCCTGGGATTCCTACACCTCTCTGTCATCGCTTTCCCAACGCCATCTCCCACCAACACGTCTTGATTCTCACCAGTAGATTGCTGCTCATCTCGGTACAGGGTGCCAAAGCAAACCCCAGCCTTTCCCTGAGGAGATGCATTACGCACCATGCACTGGGGCTGGATGTTTCTGTGTGTTCAGTGCCACAGCACTGAATACCAGGCATCTTCCTCTGGTGGTCAGCAAAGTGTGAAGGAAACGGGGCTGTCACCCCTCACAGCCATCAGCTGACTACAAGGTACTACCCGATTCAGTCCTACAGCAATGACAACCTCACGTTTATCGCAGACATGAGCACACCCAGCCTGCCTGGATTCCAAATGTGTCTGGTCCATATCTATTAAAGCTGGCAATCGGAATTAAACAGACTTGAAAAACGATGAGCAGAAGGAGGTGAGGTGTTTCACCTCAACACAAGGACTAGGAAAAAAAAGCAAAACCTCCCCAAACCTTGCTATAGTTACCAAATTTTGAGGAATTTTTGCAAATGTCACATCCAATAACTCAAATGCTATTTTGGCTTCAGTGGTTATTCTACAGTCTGTGAGAAAAATTTCTATTATTTAAGCCATAGCATTTATTTTAAGAAACGCAGCTGAAATATTCTGCATGCTCCCTTCCAAGTGTTTTATGCTTTTGGCATGCCGAAGCATCTGTTGAAATGCTCAGAAAGCTACCTGTCATAACAAGGAGCCCTCTGTGCCCAGAGAGGCTCCTGGACGCCACCGAAAGAATGGTCCTGTTCTCACAGGACACACCAGTCAGGTACACCATCTGCACCACCCATGACATCAGTCAGGAAAAAATGGAACTACACTATGTAATAGCCTTTAAGCGTACTTCCTGCAAAAATGCTAAAGTGGTGCATTCCTCCAGATACAGACTCTGCAAATATGTTAAATAATCATTAGGGAATAATTTAGGGCTTAGCCTTGCCCCAACGCATTAGGGCAGAGCTCCCGCTAATAACAAAGCCAGGGCATGACCAGGGACTTGGTATTCCCCCTCAAAACTGATCAGCAGCTTGTGCTTGAGACTCTTGAGGCTACTGGGGGCTGCATCCTTAATGATAAAGATGTGTCAAAAACCCCCATAGGTAACTTCTGTATCAGCAATACCTCTAGAAATGTGTGTGCCTGTTCTTTGTATGTTTGGTATACAATAAAGACAACAAGTAAATACAACCATTTTTGCTTCTAAAAATATTAAGAACAATATCTACATTTTCTTACCTGACCATGTAACTGATGGCAATGCTGCTTGCATTCCTCAGCAATGCCTTACACATCTGTCTGTTCCATTTGCACTTCCAGAACATGTTCAAGGAATACCTGAGTCAGTCTGGAGAGAATTATCAGTGAGACTAACTACCCAGTCTGGGGAAAGAGGGCTTCTTTCCCTTTTTTTTCCCATCAGTGTGTTGGAATATAATTCCAATGCTTTCTAAAAAAGCTCAAAAAGAATAAAATCTATAAAATAGTGACATTTTTAATGTAATTGCTGCTTGTCTCTTAAAGCTAGAGCTTAGGAAGCTACACAACAGACAGCTTTATTGTTAACTTTCTCAAACAGCAGGTTTGGTTTGTTTTCTGTTACAGTAACTGCACATGATTAATGAGAAAATGAAACAAATGGTCATGTTTTAAAAGTGTATCTAATATACAGCCCTAATAAAAGACCATCAATGAGTGCTCAATATCCTGATTTTTTAAAATCAAATCGAAGATCAAGCTGTCTGAACTACAAAGAAAGTGCACAAACATTTTGGGTATTGATTTCAGCCATGAGCATCAAGCATGCATAAAAATTGGGTCATCAATCTGATTTTCAAGAAAAAGAATTTAGCTATAGCTCCCAAGTAGAAGCACTCAAAGACGTAAGCCACTGCATCATGGGTTTAAACAGCAAGAGGGAAAAGTTGATCTTGCAGGCAATGACTGTCATGTGAAGCGCAGGCAAAGACGGTGAGGTCAGGAGACCCAGGCATCTATTCTCGTGTACACTGCAGAGATTCTCCCTGACCTTTGCCTGGGCAGCCCCTGGACTGCCCTGCCACCATGCCCCTGGGCTGAAAACGCCCAGGGACCTGCTGCTGAAGGCTCAAGGCACCAGCAACCTATGCCTCTGGGGAAAAAAAGTCAGGAAAAGACTGCCCTCCTCATTGCAAAATTCCCTCCATGTATTCTGATATATTTTCGCCCTGAATTCCCCTGCTAGGGGAGGCCTGAGGAAAAAACACACCTCAGATGTCTTGAGGCAGGGGGCTGCAGAGGGTAACCTCTCAATCTCCTCTCCAAAACCCAAGGGCTGAACACCAGGTGCCATGGGAGATGGCTTATGGAATCAGCTCAAACTCCCCTCAACTCCTCTGCTTAAGAAGGAAGCTGGGCAGTCCTCCTGCAGATCTAGGGGTGTTCCACATGCTGCAGGGCAGTGGCGGGGCACCAGCAGGCAGCTCTACGCTCTGTTACAGAGCAAGGTCGAGGCAGGGACTAGCAGCCTCCAGTCTGGAGATGGAGGACCCCACAGGGCAATGAGCAAGCAAACCTGGCAGTGGCAATTCAACCAGACAGGCAGCATCCACAGAGCACTGATGAACCACTGAAACGCGTGTCTTGGTTTGGAGTGTTGCAGCATCCCTGTCTCTTTCCAGCTGTTTCTCTCCAACTTCAACCTCACACACTCCAGGAGCACATGTTTCAGTCAGTGCCATACCACCCATGTGCTCCTTGTGCTTTTTAGATCTCTGGCCCAGAAGCACGCAGGCTGCTGTGTACCTTAGGACTGAGAGAGGCAAATCATGCTGACCAGGGTGACCATGAACCTCCTCCCTTTGCCAGCAACCAGGCAAGCAATACAGGGTGATGGCTTTTGGATGAGGTGCAAAGCTCAGTTCTAGACTCCTTGTCAGTGAGTATTCAAAACTGAGGTGCTAAACTTAGGCAGCTTGGATGCTCCTGAGAGAGCACAAGTCAAAAAAAGAGGAACATCTTATTCAAAACAGCAGAATAGACAGACTTCAGAATAAAAAAAAAAAAACAGTAAAACAAAACAAACCCCAAATACCAACCAAACAGAAAAGAAAACACCTCCTTAGGAGCTGGGATGATTCTCTGGCTGTGATAGATGTTGCTGAACTTTATCTGACACAGTGAGACAAAAAAAGTGAATAAATTATGCTCTGTGTGACTAAACAGGGTACTACTCCTTAGTCCTTCCCCTACTTCAAATAAAACTGTAACAGGAATTCCTACAGTTTTTCGTGCTACTTTCAGGATTTATTTTTCCTTTCTAAAACTGATTTTTCTTGGATTCACTCAAACCCTGTTTTAAGAGCCAAATGTAGTCAGAGCTGGTCCACAAATAAAAATAAGATGGCTTGCTCCTGCAAAAGGCCAAGCCTGGGGCGAGGGTGAGGGCTGGATGGGAGAAAAGTGAATGGAAACAGCAGGAGTGTGTTTTATGTGGCACTTTCTAGTGCTGCCACTTGGACCTTAACTCAAGAGTGCAGCAAAAGAGCAGCTGTTCCCATCATGATGAATAAAGATCTATATAAAACTTCCAGCTGCAAATACGCTAAGGAATTATTAATCTTAATGTAACAAAGACACTGTACACTCAGTCACTGGCTCACAAGTAATTTCAGTCTCTATCCAGGGAAAAACAGCCTTCGTGGCTGCTGGCTCTCAGCACAGCCATGAAATCTCCTTGTCTAAACAGCCGTAAGACGCTGCTCCCTATTTCTGGGAAGGGTTTTCCTCCTCAAAAATATGCAAACCTAGTAACCAGCCCAAGTCACACTCCTCCTAAAACTATTAGACTCACAAGAGGAATGCCCGTAAGAAAAGGAATTACTAATAGAATGAATTTGTAGGTCCTGGGTACCTTATTGACCAGGACACCAGGAAATCATTAGTGCTTTCATGATATTTCTACCACAAGACTGAAGAAATGTCCCTCCCCTAAACCTTGTTGCCTCATCACACTCCAAGGATTAAAATTCCGAGTCTCGGAATAGTGCCCTCCCTGAAACTACCCAACTCCTCACTTCACTTAGTTTCCACTCAGACATTTGCCCTCAGCATCTGTAACAGCTTTCAGTTTGGACAGTCATATCCATGGCCGTGTATGAGTTAAAAAAAAAGCACAAGAGCACTGTAAAAGGAATTTATTACATATGCTTAGGCAGATACCCCTGGCAAGCTTCTACTTGTGAACCTGCCTTTCGTCATGCCGCTGACGCATCACTCGCACCCAGCACGCTCCCGTTTGTGGGTGAGCACAGGCTGGCCTGGGATCCTCGGGCGTGTGCTGGGTGCCGTCAGCGCAAGTGGGATGGGCACGATGCCCTTCACTGGTGCCCATCCCAGCCATGGTGGAGTGCCACTGCCAACATCAGTGACTTCTCCAAGACTGAGACACACCCTCCCTCAATGCCACGTTTTAATTTGGTGGCTCACTAGTGCTTCAGTAGCTGCATGACTTTGAATTCTCACCTTTGGAAATCTGAGGACAACGGGGTGCCCCCTATCAGGGATTATCTGATTAAGGGTCAATGCTTCTGAGGTGCACATCAAGACGAATACTGGCTCACATGGGACAGGAGCAACACAGTTCCAGGCAAAAAGTCTTCAGGGCTCAGAGACACCAGTGAAACTAGAAATGGCTGCCTTTCCCCTAAATTTTAACTCCTATCCAAATGACATTTATTTAAACTGCTACTGAAGACAGAAAGCTGGGGCTATGTTTAAAGGCTTTATCTCTGTAAATATTTGGAGAGTTATAAATACTGAGCCATATTCATAATATGAATATTGCACTTACTGTTCTGTTGCCATGAAAATTACTATAAATACACTTCCAATTCTTAATTTCTCTGATCTGCCAAAAACTTGTTTAAAAAGACCAAAAAAAATCTTATGTGAAACATTTTGCTATTTAATTAGCCATTGGAGTCAAAGGTCACAGCACAGAGCAGGAATTGAAAACTCAATGATGGAGGCAGACAAAGCACGTAGTGCACTAGCACGCTGTAAAGCTCTATGTCCCAAATGAGACTTATTATAATCAGACAGTCCATGAGTCAAGCCCTGACTGCTTTCCGTTTTTGGGGAAAGGAGGGAGTGTGAAGGGAGATTGTCTGGCAGTTTGAAATAAACCTCCAGTGAAATGTCACTTCTTCTGTAAGTCACATGAATACCAATGGCTTCCAAATTTCACAGTACTTCTGTCCATTTTTGGTTGGGTTTCCTTTATGTAGGAATGAATTAAAAGAAGGAAACCATTTCAAGGCATTTTATAAAAGTGTCTTAGCGGATGAAGGAGCAGAGAGCTGGGCATAGACTGATTGGGTTCCCATCTTCAGCTCTGCCAGAGTTTTTGCTTTATGAGAGATACATCACTTGATTTGAGCATGTGGCAGTTTGAGCCAGAAAACAAATTCATAACAACTTCTTACATATTTTCAGACTGCTTTATATTTAATCAATTTGTGCTTCATCCTCCTTATAAAACAAAAGCCAGTAACCACAGTGCCATGTGGCTGGGTAACCCTTTCTTCATGAGGAAAATGCAGCAATTCCAGCCCTTGGTTTCCAATCCTTGCACAATTTACACTTGCATTCCTTGGAGAATACAGGAGATTAATGCTCTTTGGAGTCAGAGAAGTGCTGTCTGCATGTGTATGTTCCTCAAGCCAGGTTCCGTTTCTGTTGTTTCATGTTGTGCATGTTGTTGTGACATAAACAAGATTTCCAAACATGCTATTTGTGACTCCTGTCTCAGAGCAGAAACGGGCAGTGGCCTTTGTCAGGTGCCATTACACACTTCTGGTCCTACTCTCCTTCCCCAAGCCACCTTTGATCCACCTGATCCCACAGCTCCAATTATGCTGCAGTTTTAACTGAGAACATGCCTTCCATGGAAAGCATCTTAATTCAGCAATAAAAATAGGTCAGGTATATCTTATAGCTCAGATTCAATGTTTTGACCTCCAGGACAATCTGATTAAACTATGAAAAATCCAGAGAGACTGCAGATTCCACACCGTGAGTTGTTTGAGAGCAAGGGTGATGTTGTTAGTTGATGTCATTTTTTTTGACCAGAAAAAAACCCAAATGGATGGAACAGACCAGACTCTGACCAACGAGCATAACATGAACTGCTCTGCCACAAAGGCTACAATGAACTGAAAAGCCTGTGATCTCCAACAGCAAGTAAATAAAATAAGCATGAAAGCTCCTAGATAAACTTTCTCAACATACAGGGACTATTTTCAGTCAGTCATTCTAAATATTGTCACATTGAGTAACATTATTTACAACAGCTGTTGCACTAGAATTTCTGACTAGAATACTGACAAGCTAATACCACAACTCTGTTTAAAGCCAATAAGACAGTCAAATAAAATGTTGCAAATATTAACAGCAGAACTTGCCAATAAAAGCTTTATAGAGTAGTTTATCTGCTGCTGCAAATGGATGACACCTTGCTCCAGTCAATGGAGCAGGATGTCAGTGTACGACTGGGAATTGAGGCAGATGCTGAGGGTAACACTTTCTCCTTTGAAGGGAGGTATGATGAGGAGGTGATGGTGATCAGGACTTGTGTTTTTACACCCAAACCAAGACAGCGTCTCTATCAACCTGCTGACTTCAAACATGACGCTCTAGTATGGGTCAAGTTCCAAGCCAGAGATAGGAATGCCAAGCTCTTTAAAGATGCTGCTTGTCCCAGTCATACTCAATCCTTACCTGGGTATGCAGCCTAAGAAGTACATCTCAGTCTTGGTAAACTGGTAAGATCTTAAAGCTTGTTGAGTACAGTTGCAAATAATTGTACAAAATATATTAAGTCAAAAGAAAAAGGGAAAAGCCAGGTGATTCATGACACATAACTTTTAACACGTACAGGCTGGACAACAACAAGGTCTAGTCACCTTGGCTGTCGTCACAGCCAGCAAAATGAGACAGGCACTCTGAAGGTGTGACTTACCCAGGCTGCTTCAGATGTTCACATCAGAATAAAATTAGTAGCTCTCTAAACTCTACACTGACAAGCCTCTTCCTGATTACAGAGAGAAACTAAGGCAATTAAATCAGGTGCAGACATCTAATAAACCCTAAAACATAGACTTGCCCCTGACACCTGCCCAGACCACAGTTCAAACATGTGTCCCACAAACCCAGGGCAGTGCTGCAAGAGAGGCACACTGTGCTTCTCCCAAAGAGACACGGAGCAGAGCTCTTGTGAGAAGCCCCCTGCAGTGGCAGAGCACACTGCAAACATAATGCTCTGCATTTCATGAGGTGTTTTGGTTTGGGCAGTCACCCAGAGATCATTGACTTGAATGGTGGTACTTTGCAGCTCTTTTCCCTCCCAGAAGGAAAGGTAAAGTCAGCTCCACCACAGCTTAAATTCTGTGCTTTGGCTTCTCCACCCTGACATTGGGGATCTGCTGTACTCTGGTCCTAGCGTCTGCCTCAACACTGGGTGGGCAGAACATGGTCACAGCTGGGAGACAGACACTTCACCAGCTCCCTCCACAGCCTCTCTCCCTGTGCCTTTGATGGGAATAATCACCCCTCCCTCTCTCAGAAGAAGGGAGGCACAAAGGAGCAGCTCATTTCCCTGTAAAGGCTGTAGCAGCGCCCTTAAGCCCAGCAGTGCTCCTGACCTCTGCTCTGGAGCACACAGGAAATTCTGGAGCAGCACCATGTGCAGTTTCAGTGGCCTTGCTGTTTCCACTGTTTCAAAATTGGACTGCACATTAAAATCATAATAAAAATACAACCTTGAGCCCTATTCCTCCTAATGACCATTTTTATATTAAATTCAAACATGTATTACATACCTCTTTTTACTACAAAAATGGAAAAGAAAATTTGCTAATAACTGGAGAAAGTAAAGGCCAAATTTCATCATATTTTTCTCTATTTTTACTAAAACTGGAGGAAGAAGAATGCTTTTCTCACTAGGCCATTTTCCTACAAACATCTGCTATTACAGCTAGGCTTCTTGGTTAATGTTGCCCTGTGATTAGAGCGACTTCCCCTGTAAAATCTATCTGGGCTAAGAGTTTCAGGGGTTTAAATTATGCTAGCAAAACAGCAGAGCCATAGCCCAGCGCCATCGCCACTGCACTGCCTTGTTCTTTGCAAAACCTCTCCAAGCTGCCTCCATCTCAACTAGGGCTCTTGCAGCCAACAGTGGGGCTATGTCAGTTCACATATTTTAAGGTTTTCCTCACGACCTGGAGGGATTAGGAAATGAGGCTTTGATGTATTCCGGACATGTGCTTGAGATTGCTTGTGTACCTAGACACTAGCACATGTGCTGGCAAGTTGTGGTCTAAATTTGTTTGTCCCTGGAAGCTCATGTTTGCAGCTGGGTGGAGTTTGTGTCAAATTCTACAACTGTATGCCATTTTGTGGTCAATAATACTCTATATAACCTACATTCAGTAGTAATATTCAAGTCTGTATTAAAGAATATTCTATTATTGCAGAATAAGAGCTACAATACATAAGGCCCACATAATGAAAACATCATTGCAAAAGAAAAGGTTGGAAATTAATTTGAAAGCCATTTACAAAATTATTGCAGGATTATTAAGGATGAATGATTAATAAACACAATCTATAATTTTTTTATATATATCACATTCCAAGCCATTTTACGAATTCCTTTAACTATGGGGAGAAATTTATATATTTTATGTAGCTTTTTTTTATCCTGATATGACAGGCACTATCTAAATAATGCTGTACATATAAACCAGACTGCTCCATGCTGCATTGTGTTTCAACCAGATCAAATACATTCCCATAGTACAGAAGCTGTTACAAGATCTTAATACAGAGTTCTGAAAGAAGTGGCAAGATTCTGGGGGGGATTTGCCTTTTTTTCAACAGGTAGTTTCTGTGGACTTCTCTGTAGCACTAAAACTGCATTATATGGGAACAGGTTTAGTGCTACACTTCTCCAAGACAAAAAGCAAGCTGACCCATACCAGTCACACTTCTTCAGCACTTCTCAACTTTAAGTCATGCTACTCCTGTTCAAGTCAATGAGAATTTTATGGCTAAATCCAACCCTGCGTGCTTTGCCAATTTTCTCCGGTGTTTTTGTCCTAGATATGCAGGGACTTGGTACATATATACCAGCAAGACTGTATTAAAAGCTAAGCAGGTAGAAAACAATACAGCCCAGGGAAGTTTTGTTTTTGACTCTCCTCATAATCAAAGCTATGCACAAAGCACAATGAGGCACAGTAAATACAGACATTTCACACAGACAAGCACGAAAATCTTCCAAAACAAAGAAAATTAAATTATCTTTCAACTAAAAAACACACTGCAGTGAAAGACTAAATGAGCAATTCTAATTAAAACCATGCTATGAATCTCCTACTTTCCAACACACACACAGAAAAAATCAGCTCATGTTTGTGCATTTACAGCCACCCTCCAAAACCAGTCAAGCAGCTTTCCAGCAAAACAATGATAGACACAGCATCTCAGAAGTACAAAACATATTGAAATTATTTCCATAGCAATCATAACAACAACACATCAGGCCAGGATATGCAGGGAAGGGGGGTGGCAGCAGGAGCTCAGCCCCTCACTGGCCCCAGAGCTGCGTGCTGCCCCAGGCACGCTGCCGGCAGCACCCACACAGTGGCCATCCCTTCGCCCCATGGCTGCATCCAGCATGCCACCCTGTGCGTGGGAGCTCACTTTGGCAACAGTCCAGCCCATCCAAAATAGGCACCTGCATCCCTTCTCTGCCCCTCACACAGAAGCGAAGCGTCATATCCCCGCGTACACACGCAGGAGAGCCAAGGCGCTGGTAGTCCTGGCCGCTGGCAAGCACAGGCAACATTGTGCAAGCCCTGCTCGAGCTTCTTAATCCTGACACACTGCAGCCATCTCAGGCTCAGGTCTCTCTCTCTCCTTGCAGTGTGAAATGAAGCAGCTGCCTCAGGTGAAGATGCTAAGACGGGGATGAAAACTGGGGACTAACCCTCTGTGCCTGAGCTGCACTCAGGATTCATGCACAGCTCCGCTCTGAGCAGCTCCCCAGAAATGAAACGTGATCTCTCTCCCAACCTGCTCCCTTCTAGCTATTTATCTATTTGTGCAGCCACGATATGCTGCAGGCTTCCTGAAATCTAGCCACTGTCCTTTCATGGGTAGAGAGCTGAGGGGCAGAAACGTGAGTCTTATTAAGTACAGCAAGTATGGGCATCCATGTCCTGTGCAGAACATGCATGATATGCTGATACTGCTGTTTTGATGTGGGCACAGGGACAGGAATTGGCTAAATATAGCAGACTTCAGTGAACAGTCTAAATTATAGGCCCAAATGACATGAAGAAAGGTACAGTTTGCCCAAAGACAGAGGAAAGTAATGGGAAGATCTTGGACAGGGATGGAAAGCTTGGCTCCAGTATCATCATGCCTGACTTGCTATCAAGACATCCAGTAAAATCAAGACATCCAGTAGAAGCATCAGAGACACAGAGACTTCACGGCCATTAGATGTGGACAGGCACAAGGGTGGCAGAACAAAAGAAGATGCAGTCATCCTAAGGGATCCCAAAATCAAAGGGACCAAAGACAGAGGCAGAGGAAAAGGAGAGCCCAGTTAGTACCATTCACCTGAAAACCATCAGAAGGAAGCAGCAACATATGGGGAACCTGCAACACATACCCAATGCATCAGATTTTTAAAAGGGAAAACTTAGTAGATCTCCTGAAAAGCAGCACAGAGGTCTGCAAGAACAGAATGCAGCTATTGCAACTTACTCCCCTTTATCATGCTATTTTCAGGCAGCTGGCAGCCCCACATGCTCACACCTGACACCCAATCTCTTGTAACACCTGTGCAAGGCAGTGAAAGTGTTTTAATCCAGATTTTGTAGCCAAGTAACCTGAGTGACAATACACTGCACAATTAATTGCCAGTTAATCAACGTATTCTTACTTGGTAGAAAACTTAAGCGCCTATTCAACATTTAATCCCACTTTAAGTGGTCTGTTTCTCTGAAGATCGCTTTGCTCAATCTCTTACATTTTTTCTCCCTTACATTACAAGAATGGGACCAGCAATATTTTTACATGAGTAGGATTGCAAGTGGCAAGGGAGCAGTTCTCTTTCTGGTGAGAACTATTGGTTTTCTCCAGGATTCACATTTGGTTCTAACACCATGTTATCAGTGCCCCAAAGAGCATAACTCATTGAGGAGGACTCCAATGTCTCCAGCTCCCCAAAACGTACCCATGCTGTGCCTGCAAGTGTTTACTGCTTTGAACAGGGCTGCATTTGAAACCTACGCAGCAGACTTTTAAATCCCAATGTACATAACGTCTGCAGGCAAACCAAAAGCAGGAGTTCCTCCACTTTATTGGGTACTGAAACATTAAAAACAGGTGTTCAAAAACTGTATTACAAATCTGTCTGTAACCTATATTATTTTTACCACGTGCAAGTAAATTGATCACTAGCATGTTTAAACTGTTTCAGTGAAAATAGGCAACTCCTGCTAAATTATTTCTTGAACATGTGGAGGGAGGAGAAAGTTTATGTGATTTCACTGCACTAACAGTCTGCAACAAATTTTACTTATGTGTATGTACATAGCAGATGCTGTAATGGATCATCTCCCTTTCACGGCACGTATCAAAGAAGATCTTGAGCTATTCTTCACAAGGAAAGAAATTATAAACTCTGCTCATAATGAAAGCTGCAACATACTTCAAGAGAGCAACTGAGTAATTTGACATCTTATTTTCCACTGATTCAGCCTGTTAGCTGAAATAATGACTAATTAAAATGGAAAATCTATATTATAACCACACATACTGACATTCCAGATCACAAGGTATGTTACAGATGTAATTTTTTACTCATCTTGAATATAAAAATTAGAAAATATAAAACCAGAAATTCCAATGGAGTTAGGTTGGTGTGAAAGGGATATGAAATTTGAACTGGCCCCCAGTATGTCTTCATACAGAATGCAGGCAATATAATTTTCATGATATATGTTTTATGTAATTCAGAGTACCAAGAAAAAAAAAACCCTTTGCCCTGAGATATTACTTTTAGAAATAGAGGACAGATGTCTAGTTGCTAAAGCAGACTTGTAAAAAATTAATCACCTGCCTCATGCAGGTTAGCAGTATTTGGCAGGTAGGTTAGCCCAGCTTATAATGAAGCATCTGGCTTCTGGTAAAGCTGCATTTTAATTTTAACTGTGTTTCATTTCAGCTTTTGGGCACATGTGCAGTAATCTGACAAGTCTGGAGAAGATTTGCTGGTTGGTAACTTTGGTGTAGGTCTTCTCAACTGCAACTAAAACTAAGTCAAGTGACAACTGTGGTTCACGCCCACACCAAAGCCCCACATATCACCTGAAGCTCCCATTTTAAACCCAGTCGTCAACATCTTACCCACCCATGCTCTTATTTTCTTAAAAACAGCTAAACTAAGAGTCAGCAAACCCCTAAGCATGTGCTTGAATTAAGCAGGCTAAGCTGTCTGACTTCAGGAGTGCCCCAATACTTCTTTGAATGTCATTTGGTTTGAGACTGGGTTTTCAGGTTGGTGGTCTTTTTGTTTGTTTTGGTCTGGTTTGTTTGTTTCTGTTTTGTTTGTTTTTTGTTGTTGGTTTGTTTGGGTTTTTTTAACTGAGGTCTGGTAATTTGAGGCAAGCAAAAGATCAACCCATGTTGTATTTTTCCTTAGAAAAGTGGGTACCCATTTCTAGCACTACTGGTATCCTCTTTTGGCCAACCAGAAGCATCTGCAGCTTCTTCTCTGCCTTCTGATCCTGTGACTCTCATAATTTCTAGGTGTTCCCCCTGATGCATGCATTTTCAGTGTAGGGGTGCTTCTACCATGAATTTACTGGGAATCCCCATCAACACCACCCCTACCACCATCGATTGTCACCATCACTATGCATTTTTTAACATGAATAGCTCAGGCATTGGAAAAATGTTTCCAAAAGACAAAGATGCATTAGAGCACAAATTATGCAATTGCCAGTTTTGGGGTTTTACACGATGACCACATTTTAAGCTTTCAAATGTGCCCAAACCCTCAAAAATGTCACTGGCTGATGTTTTTTTCTCTTCTTGTACCACTTAAGCTGAACTGTTTCTTTCTAATACTTTTTCTAAAAAGAAATATACAAGACAACAGATCATACTACTGGCTCCTGAGCTCTACAGATGTTGACAGAGGAAAGGAACTGGGAATATTTAGCTCCAAAAGCACATTCATAGCAGACTCCCTAGCAGTATCACAAGCGCCTTTTGCCAGGCTGCTGTGGCTTCTGCAGGTATTTTCCTAGTACACCACTGCAAAGAAATCACCTATTTCAGCTGCTGAGTATATTAATTTTTTTGTTTCCATCTTCATTGAATACCACCCAATGACAGATACTGATCAGGCCTATAGACACACTTAAACTCTATTCAGGTATGTAGAAAAAACAAGGCAAGGGGAATTCTTATCTTGATTGGGACCTGCTTGATCACTTGTGGGAAAGGGGAATGGCAACTTCTAGAAAGAAAATTCAGAAACAAGCAGAGCAAGAGACACCACATCTACAACTTTTAGCAGGAGTAATGCAATATTAAGCACAAAGCAAAAAGGATGGAAGGGGCAAAAAAAAGCATCGCACTCAAACAGTCAAGGATGAGTCCTGATTCCTCCCCAGAGAGCAGCAATACACATTTTGGAGGTATACTTCCAAAATAATGATGAATTGCCCTTTTAGACAAAGAAAAACTCTGCAGAATAAACTGTCCACAATGCAAGCAGTTCACCAAGTAAAAGGAGGCATCATGAGACCTCAGAAAAAGTAAACGAGGAATCAGAGAACACTACTAAAGACTGTTCTTTTTTGACCTTGCACAGACTTCCATCACGTTGTTTCTAGACACTCAGGGTGCGTATGCTGCTGGTAACCAAAACCAACCTCGCAAAAGAAGCATAAAGGATGGCTCTGTGAGCAGTGCTGGAGATAAAGATGACTTCACTGCTTCCTCCCTAACCTAGAAGGTCTTTGCCTAATCAACCGCCAACAGAGGACAGCTAGAAGATACCCCACACAGCAAGAGCAATGCCACTGACTCCCTTGTCTCAAAGAACAAGGAAGAAAGTAAACCTGGAGGGGCCAAGAAAGAGGAAAGTCAAGAGCTGTTATATCATACCCTTTCACAACGGAGTGGAGACAGAACCAGTGGAGGAACGCTTTCCATCTCCTCCTCCCTCAAGGCCATCACCGACTCCTGCTTTGCCTGCAGCCAGTGAGTCCAAACTGAAGGCAATCCTAGGGCTAAAGCCTTCAGGCTGGAAAGCCAGATTGAATATCTCAGCCTCCTAACAGCCGGGATATGTACTGCAATGTCCATCATACTGAGCGTGGGCGAGGTATCATTTTTAACAGCAGAGAGCAGAGCTGATGGAAACTTCGTTTTTCATTTGGAAAGGGCTGTTGCACCAAACAGAAGAAGCCTGTTCCCAGGATGGCTCATAAATCAGAGCTGAAGTTGCATTTTCAGGGTCATGAAATCTTTTCTGCCTGACAGCAGCACACTTTCCAGGATGGCTCCCTTCTGGACTTACCCCTCCTCGGGGAGGCCATAAGCTAATGATACAGTTGTGCTTGTGGAGCTACTCTGTGGGACCAACTTCACACAAAACACCAAAAAAGAGAAACTCCCCTCTTCCCAAAATATGCTCTCCTAACAAAAAAAAAAAAAAAGTGATGAAAAGCTTTCAATGTGCATTCTTCCATTTGCTGGATTTATAGAAGCAATAGCAGCCTTAAAACATCTGCCAAATCATTGTACTTTTCAGTTTTGATTATGTGTCTGCTAGTTTGAGGTTTAGCTTTAACTATACAGATGCAAGAAGTGAGAAAGCCATTCAGGTTAGATTTATTCTTAAGAAGTACCGGCTGTCTAAAACAAGGCTATAAGGTGTAGGCTCC